ACGGAAACTTCGGCTAAGGCAATGTGGGATAAGCTTAAGGCTTTGTACATATAGAATACTATTGAGAATCGTTTGTACCTAAAGCAAAGCCTTTATATGCTTCGAATGGCGGAAGGTACATCATTACTCTCCCATCTTGATAATTTTGATTCGATTATTATGGATTGGAAAATATCAATGTTAAGATAGATGATGAGGATAAGGCATTGCTACTTTTGTTCTCATTACCCCAATCTTTTAAGAATTTTCGTGATATTATGATTTATGAAAAAGAATTATCTCTTATCAAGAAATCAAGTCTGCTTTGAAATCTAATGAGCAAATAGATAGAGATATCACTGGAGAAAATATTGGGGTTAATGCTGAGAGCCTAGTTGTTAGAGAGAGATCTGATAAGAGAAACTATGACAATAGTAAATCTAGATCGAAATCTAGACATCGGAATATAAAGTGTAACTATTGTCATAAGATAGGGCACAATAAAGTTGATTGCTTTAAGTTGAAAAATAAGCAAAAGGGAAAATCGGTTGAAAAGAAAGATAACATTGTTGAAGGTAGTGTTGCTGCTGATGATAGTGAGGTTAGTATTTTTCTTGTCTCACATGATAGGGTGCGATATACATATGAGTGGATTTTGGATCCAAGATGCTCTTATCACATGTGTCCCAATAGGGATTTGTTTGCTACTTATGATTCAGGCAACGAAGGAACTGTCTTAATGGGCAACAACGTTGTTTGTAATATTGTGGTTAAGGGCACTGTTCGTATCAAGATGCATGATGGCATTGTGAGGACACTTACTTATGTTTGGCATGTCCCTGATTTTAAAAAGAATCTGATCTCTTTGGGGACAATTGAGGCACGTAGTTGCAGGTACACGAGTCAAAAGGGTGTTTTAAATATTTTCAAAGGTGTTCTCGTGATTATGAAAGGTATCCGATCTGGCATCTTGTATACTTTGCAAGGGACAATTGTTACTGGGCATGCAGTTGTTTCATCATCCTCACTGGTTGAATCTGACATCACCAAGTTATCGCATATGGTTTTGGGGCATATGAATGAAAAATGCTTGGGAATCTTAAGCATAAGAGGACTTCTTTGTAGACAAAGTATTGGATCATTGAAGTTCTGTAAGAATTGTGTATTCAAAAAGCAGAAAAGAGTGATTTTCAAGTCATCAGCAACTCACAAGACGAAAGGTACACTTGACTACATCCACTCTGATCTTTGGGGTCCATCTTATGTTTCATCTAAGGATGGTGTCAAGTATATGCTGACTTTTATTGATGAGTACTCAAGAAAGGTTTGGGTATATTTTTTGAAGAATAAGAATAATGTTTTTCTAACTTTCAAACAATGGAAAGTTTTGATTAAAAAGAAAATAGGAAAACAAATCAAACGGTTGAGAACCGATAACAACTTGAAATTTTGCAGAGGGGAGTTCATTGAGTATTGCAAGAAAGAAGAAATCGTTCGACATCGCATAGTGAGGATGACACCTCAATAGAATGGCGTGGTTGAACGTATGAACAGAACACTCTTGGAAATGGCGAGATGTATGATCTCCAAAATATGATTAACTAAGAATTTTTGGGCTGAAGCAATCAACATGGCTGCCTACATTGTCAATCGCTCTCTGAATTCTGCTCTCAACTTCAAAACTCCTGAAGAAGTTTGGTCAGGTACTCCTACTGATTATTATAATGCAAGGATTTTTTGGTGTTCATCATATATGCATGTAAATGAAGGAAAATTGGAGCCTAAGGCTAAGAAATGCATTTTCCTTGGTTATGCTTCTGTAGGGAAATGATATAGATTATGGTGTCCTGATCTCAAATCTCCAAAATTTGCAATCAGTGGAGATGTTACCTTTGATGAAATGGCTATGTTGTCTAACAAAGAATCTTTGAGTTTAAGTGAGAATACACAGAAGCAGGTGCAATTCGAAATTGGTTGTTCTAGCACTCCTCAGCCAGACTTTTCTGTTCAACAGACATCAGTTGATATTGAAAGTTCAAAAGAATAGCCATATTCCATAGCCACTAGAAGAAAGTGCAGAGACACTCGATCTCCACAGTGGTATACAGACTTTGTCGCACATGCACTATCTGTTGCAGAAGAAATAAGTGGAGGCAAGGAGCCCCATCTACATATTCAGACGTAATTCAACGTGATGATTATGTTAAGTGGATAGAGGCAATGAATGAACAAATTGAGTCTCTCCACAAGAATAATACTTGGATTCTTGTGAAACCACCGCCAAATAAGAGAATTATTGGAAGCAAATGGGTCTTTAAGAAAAATGAAGGCATTCCAAGGGGTGATAAAGTAAGATATAAAGCACGGTTGGTTGCAAAGGGCTATAATCAGGTGCAAGGTATTGATTGAAAAGATGTTTTCTCACATGTTGTCAAACATAGCTCTATTCGTATTTTGCTTGCTTTGGTTTCCATTGAGGATTTGGAAATAGAATAAATGAATGTTAAGATAGCCTTTCTGCATGGGGAACTTGAAAAGAATATTTACATAAAGCAATCCCAGGGTTTTGAAATCAGAGGAAATGAAGACCATGTTTGTTTGTTGAAGAAATCCTTATATGGATTGAAACAGTCTCCGAAGTAGTGGTGTAAGAGGTTTGACTCTTTTATGTTGAGTAATGAATATTTGAGAAGTACTTATGATAGTTGTGTTTATTTTTGGAAGTTAGCCGACGGTACTCGCATCTATCTATTGTTGTATTTGGATAATATGCTTATTGCTGCCAAGAATATGTCCAAAATTCACTATTTGAAGTTGCAGCTTAGTAGTGAATTTGAAATGAAGGAATTGGGAGCATCAAAGAAAATTCGTGGCATGGATATCCAACGTGATCATGGACAAAGATGGTCTTGACTCAAGAAAGCTATGTTAAGAAGGTCTTGGAGCGTTTTGGAATTAATAATGCCAAACCAGTAAGTGTCCCTTTTGCTAATCACTTTCGATTATCAGCTGCTCAGTCACCGCAATATGTTGAAGTGGAAGAAGAAATGGCGCGGGTTTCTTATTCAAATGCAATCGGTAGTCTTATGTACGCAATGGTATGCACCCGTCCATATATTTCGCAGGTAGTCAGTGTTGTTAGTAGATATATATCTTGTCCTGAAAAACTACATTGGTAGGCTGTGAAGTGGATTCTGAGATACTTACAATGTACTTCGAATGCCTGTTTAGAGTCTGGAAAAAATAGTAACACTCTGGTTGAATATGTAGATTATGATTATGCTGGCGATCTCGATGGAAGAAGACCTCTCTCAGGCTATGTATATTGCATTGGTGGTTGTGCAATTAGCTGAAAAGCATCCTTACAACCAGTTGTGGTATTGTCTTCTACGGAAGCAAAATATATGGCAGTGACAGAGGCAATTAAAGAAGCTTTGTGGTTGAAGGGTCTTTTGGGCGAGCTCAGTCTACATCAGAGTACTACTGTTATTCATTGTGAAAGTCAATGTGAGATGACTAAAAACCAAAGGCATCATGACATAACGAAGCACATCGATGTAAAGTATCACTTCATTCAAGATAGCATTGCTAAAAAGAAGGTTTGTGTTCAGAAAATTGATACAAAGGAGAATCCTACTGATATGTTTACAATAATTCTTCCAGTTCTCAAGTTCAAACAATGCTTAAGTTAGATTGAAGTTATGTGTTCGTGATTCAGCTCGAGGGGGCTTTTGTGTAGAAGGTGGGAGCAAGCTCACTATTTTGTCAATGTTGGACATGCCAATGTGGAGATTTGTTATGTGGGTTTGTCCCACATTTGAGTATTTTTAAGAACTGAAGAAAAATATTGTCCCACATTGCTTGTGGTGACAAATTTGCCATAAGTCATTCTCTATAAATTGATAACATTGGGTTGGGTTTTAGAGACACACCAAGATTAGACAAATAGTCTTTCCATATATATTTGTGGGTTACTTATTTTGTCTTGAAGGTGTTTTGGAAGATTGAGAGTTGTGGGCTTTAGAATTGTCATTCGAGCCTATTTTGTATTCTCTTTTGATAGTGAAAGTTTGTTCCGCCTTTGCCCGTGGATGTTCATCTTGACCGAACCACTTATATTCTTTTGTCGTTTAAATTTTTCATTCTTATTTTTGTCATTGTTAAAGTTTTGCAAATATTTGTTTTGGATTATAATTCTAACATAAACTATACATCCACCTTTAGACTCATGAATCTATTGCCAATAACTTTTGGATACCACAAACACAATAATAGTGTCAATATATAAAACTTTTCAAAGTGTGATCATCTTGACAAATAGTCGCTTAAATTGGGAGATTATTTTTTCACCCAACTGTCGAACTTACTAATAAATACACAAAACAACAATCAGAATTTTACCTTATGAAAGATCCATAATCGACTTCACCATTCGATTCACCACCTTAGGTTGGTAGCTACCTGAGTCGGGTTCAAGATCAATTTCCCCGGTTTAGATCGTTGATAATGTGGTGCAAATTTTTGGAAATGAGAGGCCGTAATGCATTTATCTATATATCGCCGGGAAAATAAACAGAATTGATAGGGAATCGATCACGAGGGCTGAGATAAAAGATAAAAAATAATAATAATAATAAATAAATAAATAAATAGAATTAGAATACATGTAGGAGCAAATATCAATAATTTTCATATACGGGGAGTCCAGCTCAATAAATTTTGTGGTAGAGAGTGGCTGACATTGTCACTTTTTAAACTTTCTAAAACATACTTAAATAAGGTTAATAATTAAATAAAATAAAATTTCATTTCAGCCCGTAGCTAGCCTATTCTATGGCGAGGGTTCCTACATTGTGGTCCTCACATCACATATATTTAACCGCTCACAGCCTATCCTATCGTCCGCCACGTCATCGCACATGGCGGTGACGTGACGTCACGTGACGTTTATCAGAGCTGATTTCGACTTACTCTAACGGAATTAATCACCGTCCTCACTTTTCACGCTAAATCTCAGAAAACTCAGTCCTTCCTTGCATTTCTTCCTCCTCTTCCTCTTCCTCTTCCATGGAGAACAACAACTACTCCTACAACTCCTCCTACCCGGAGTCCGGCCATTCCTCGCCTCTCTCGCGCGAGATCGAGTTAGAAAATCCGCCACCGTGGGAAGGTACGCAGGGTAATCAACCTCCTTCGCCCAACTATAAAGTCAAGTTCATGTGCAGTTATGGCGGAAAAATCCACCCTCGCCCGCACGATAACCAGTTGTCGTACATCGGAGGGGAGACGAAGATCCTCGCTGTCGATCGGGACATCAAATTCGCTTCTCTGCTCTCCAAGCTCGTAGCTCTCTGCGGCGATAATGAGGCTATTTTGTTCAAGTATCAGTTGCCTGGTGAAGATCTGGACGCGCTGATTTCGGTGGCGAATGATGATGATTTGGAGCATATGATGCACGAGTACGATCGGCTGTTTAGAGCTTCGCCTAGGCCTGCGAGGTTGAGGATTTTTGTCTTTCCTAGCCTGAATAATCCTAGCCTGAATTCGTCTCGGAGTTTCGAATTTGAGGATGTGAAGACGGAGAAAGATAGGTTTGTCGAGGCGTTAAATACGGCGGCGCCCCCTGCTGTTGCGGCGGCGGCGCCTCAACTGCAACCGCCGCCGGCGAATGTTGATTTTTTGTTTGGTTTGGAGAAGCCAAACGTAATGGCAGAAGTGGAAGATCCGGTGGTTCATCACGACATGGACGAAAAGTTAATCGGATCGGATCCGATACAGAAGCACATTCACGATCTACAGAGGCTGCGGATGGAGGATCAGGAAGGAATGATCTATGGCAGGAAAATCGACGATAATCCAGTGCTGACGCCCGGCGGGGGAGAGTATTACAATTACAATTACAATTACATTAATTACAAAGTTCCGGTAAAGAATATCAGTCAGGCGCCGATTCCCGGCGGCGTTCCGGCGTACTGGACAGAGAAACAGTTACAATCTCCTCCTGGCGGTGGCGGTGGAGTATTTCGAGCGGGCAGTAACGAACAACAAGTGTACATGATACCAGGTGCTGGTGGTGGTGGTCACGTGAGAGCGGTGCCAACTCCAAGCCAAGGAGGAGGATACTATACAGTTCAGAGGATGATACCTCCCGAACAAGTTCATTTCTACAGTATGATTCCTCCTCAGGCTCAGGCTCAGGCTCAGGCTCAGGCTGTGTCACCGCCCACTTTATCTATACTGCCCCAGCCACAGCCACTGCCACAGAAGACGACGGCTCCAACTCCAGCAGGCCTAGGAGTAGGACTAGGGGGGTACGCGTACGATGGGAGACAGGTGGTACAGTACCACGTCGGAGGAGGAGGAGGAGCCTTGAACGTGCAGGTGGAAGGAAGCAGCAAAGGCGTCGCCCCACTCCCAAAGACGCCTGTTACTACTACGACTCTCTGATACATACATACGTACGTACGTACTTCATTGATTCAACATCACATAACTAATTACTTCATTAATGAATTAATCCACGGGTAATTAATTATGCTTTTTTCTGTCTGTCTGATCTTCTAGAAAATAATGCTAAATATTACAACATGTTTGGTTCATGGCCCTATATGCTCTCCTCTGTGGCTTTCTTTCTTTCTAATTATTGTGGTTTGGTTGCTTTGTTTAGTGTTTTGTTGGGTTGAAGTGATTATCATTTGATTCTTCCACGGGACCGTCTCTCTTCTCTCTATGTCGTGCTTGTTGCTTTTGATTTGACTGTGGGTAAGGTGGGCGGGGGTTGATTCCCATTTGGAACATAGGTTTGAGTTCTCCTTCCGCCTGAATCCACTCCACACCATTCTACTCTACCGACACAATTATAGATATATACGTAGTCTGATGATGCGGTGCCCATACGGCCATACAGTATGATTAGCCTCAACTTATTTCATTTCATATCTCTGTTTCTCCCCAGAATTAGCGTGGGGTTGCTTGGGTTTCGGAGCAAACAAAATATTTTGACAGAGAAAACTGTCATTTTCTTGTTGATTCAAAATATTATTTTTACTATTTTGTTATAGTAGTAGCTATTACAAACTCGTTATGTAATGAATATGTAGTAGTAGTGTGGATGTCTTGTTGGCAACTTAGTAACCATGCATTCATTCAACCTTTGTTACCTATAAATATACATGTCCGAAATGAACAAATAGACAATCAATTCAGATAATCTTTTTACCCCATTTGGCTTTCTCTCTCTTTTATACTATAATACATTAATATATATACTACACTAATATATACATACATATATCTATATTTACCAATATACATATTAATACTTACCAACATATATATTATATTTATTATATAACACGTTATCAGCACGAAGGCTCTTGCCTATTTTATATTTGGTAAGTTTTTATTTTTATACTATCTATATTATCTATTTTCTAAATTATGAAAATCTTGCAAAATTTTCATTTAAACCTTTGTCTCTCACCGACAATAATTTTCTGACTTGGTTCCTGGATGTAGAATTGCATCTGGTTTTTACGGGCCTTGTTCATACAATTGTCAGCGATAATATGGCTTCAAGCCAAGGCTATTATTTTCATCCGTTGGTATTTAGAAATTCTTCTACAGTCTGAATATTTGACGGTGAAAAATCCACTAGATTTGTGAAATGAATTAAGGGAGAGATTTGGGCACTTGAAATATGTCACTCTCCCGAAAGCTCGACATGATTGGCTTAACCTGCGGTTGGAGGATTTTAAAACTGTAATAGAGTTTAACTCTACTATCCATTATATTACATCTTAGTTAAAACGAGAAAATATTACTGAGAATGATCAATTGGAAAAGACTCTTTCTACCTTTCATGCTTCTAATATTGTGCTGCAACAGCAGTATCGTGAGAAAAACTTTCAGAAATACTCACTGCTCATAGCATGTCTTTTATTAGCAAGCAAAATAATGAGTTACTGATGAAAAATCATCAGTCCCAGTCCACTGGTTCCAATCCGTTCCCTGAAGCAAACGTGACATTTTCTGAATGAGGCCGTAGACGTGATCGCGGTCGTGAGAGTCAACGCGGTTGATATACCCCTTACAATCACTGCGGTTTTGACATTAACAGGAAGCAGAGTAAACCCTAATATGGGGATATAGCCGAAAAGGCTAAACAGGGAAAGAGGCAAATCGGCGTTTGTAATCGGTGTGGCATTGAAGGCCATTGGGCCAATACCTGCAGAACAGTCAAACACCTAGCCGATCTTTATCAAGCCTCACTGCAAAAAAAAGGGAAAGAGGTCGAGACTAATCACGTTGATAATGATGACGACCCTGATGACGATCTTCTGGATTACAACACAATGCATCTTAATATAACGGATTTTTCCGTAGATCCAACAAACCCCCAGTAGTAGACATATTATGTCATTTTACATTATATCATTTTATATTTTGTAATATTTAAATTATCGCATATTACCTTTTTGTAATGCATTTTGTAATACTTATATCTGTCTTTATTAATACTACGTTTATTTATATTTGAAGGTTAAATGGATTCAAAATGATGCAAATATGTGTTTCATTGACAGTGCAACGACATATATTATATTGAAACACGAAAAATATTTCTCTCATTTGAAAAAAGAAAGAATGAATGTCAATATAATAAGTGGTAAAATACAAAATTAATTCTTGGCTCTGGAGAAGCCATTATATTTCTCCCCGCAGGGACGAAAATTGTGATACAGTATGCATTGTTGGCCACTAACGCTCGAAGAAATTTACTGAGCTTTCAGGACATTCGAAAAAATGGTTATCACATTGAAACTATGAGTGATACCGATGGTGAATTTTTATTGATCACCAATATCATTGATAAAAAGAAATGCATCATTGAGAGATTACCCTCACACTCTATTGGCTTATATTATGCCAGATTAGGTGTTGTTGAAACACGCCTCACGGTAGATCAAAATACTACCGATTTTCAAATATGGCATGACCGCCGTGGGCATCCTGTTAGTATAATGATAAGGCGAATAATTAAGAATTCGAATGGTCATTCATTAAAAGGTCAAAAGGTGTTAAACTCAAATGAGTTAAGCTTTGTTGCCTGCACTCAGGGAAAATTGATAACCAGGCCATCGCCAGCTAAAGTAAGTATTGGATCACCTACATTTTTTGAAAGAGTACACGAGGGTATATGTGGACCAATAGACCCACCGTGTAGACCATTTAAATATTTTAAGGTGCTTATTGATGCATCTATCAGATGGTCACATTTCTGTTTATTATCTACTCGCAATATGGCATTTGCGAGATTGCTTGCCCAAATTATTAAATTACGGGCACAATTTCCCGATAATCCCATTAAGACTATACGTCTGGATAATGCTGGTGAATATACATCGAATGTATTTGATGATTATTGCATGTCAATTGGAATTAATGTAAAGCACCAAGTTGCTCATGTTCATACACAAAATGGTTTGGCAGAATCACTTATTAAAAGATTGCATTGATTTCTAGGCCATTACTGATGAGGTCTATGTTGTCCGTTTCAGCTTGGGGGTATGCAATCTTACATGCATGAACACTTATAAGAATGAGGCCGACAAGCTATCATAGTTATTCCCCAATGCATTTAGTATTTGGTCACGAACCAAATATATCTCATCTACGTATTTTTGGGTGTGATGTTTATGTTCCTATTCCACCCCCAAACGTACAAAAATGAGTCCTCAACGTAGATTGGGCATTTATGTCGGATATGAATCGCCGTCAATTATAAAATATCTTGAACCTATGCAGGTGATTTATTCACTGCAAGATTTGCAAATTGTCATTTTGATGAATCATATTTTCCGACATTAGGGGGAGACAGAAATGAACCGAAAAGGGATTTGATTGGAAAATCCCATTGAATTTTTTGTGATTCTCGTACAAAACAGTGTGAACTAGAAGTTCAACGCATTATACATTTGCAAAATATTGCAAATCAGTTACCGAATGTATTCAATGACTCGAGTAAAGTCACTCGATCATATATTCAAGTTGCTAGTGCTCCAGCTAAAATAATTGTCCCTGATGGAAAAATTGGAAGTGCTAAGCAACACGCTTAAAGCGTGGTAGACCACTCGGTTCCAAAAACAAATATCCTCGAAAGAAAAGTAGAATTAATGATGATAATTATAAAAATATCTTGAATGACATTGAGAAACCTCAATCTAATGAGGAAGTCAACTCTGAAATAATTGCTCCAGAATAGCACAATCTTGAAGAACATGATGTGATTATCGAAAACTCAATCAACTATGTTACTTCAAGAAAATGTTGGAACCGTATAGAGACAATTATTGATAATGCATTCGCATACAGTTTAGCACTTGATATAATGGAAGAAAATGAGGATCCAGAGCCAAAATCGGTTCATGAATGTCAGCAAAGAAATGACTGGCCAAAATGGAAAAATGCGATTCAATTAGAGCTTGAGTCATTAAACAAAAAGAAAGTCTTCGGACCAATTGTTCAAACACCAGATGATATAAAACCCGTTGGATACAAATGGGTGTTTGTACGAAAAAGAAATTAACATAATGAAATTGTGAGATATAAAGCCCGTCATGTAGCTCAGGGATTCTCACAAAGACCTGGAGTAGATTTTGATGAAGCATACTTTTCAGTTGTTGATGGAATAACATTTAGATACCTTGTGAGCCTAGCAGTGCGAGAGAAGCTCGATATACGTCTTTTAGACGTAGTTACTGCATATTTTTATAGCTCATTGGATACTGATATTTATATGAAAGTTCCCAATGGATTCAATATACCTGAAGCATACAAAATAAACTCAAAGGAATCATATTCCATCAAATTGAAAAAGTCATTGTATGGACTTAAACAATCATGGTGAATGTGATATAACCGTCTCAGCGAATGTTTAATAAAAGGAAGGTTATACTAATGATCCAATATGCCCATGCGTCTTTATAAAGAAAAATATATCAAATTTTGTCATTATTGCAATATATGTTGACGAGCTCAATTTAATTGGAACTCCTGAAGAGATCCAAATTGTAGTTGAATATCTAAAGAGAGAATTTGACATCAAAGATTTTTGAAAGACAAAATATTGTCTGGGATTACAAGTGGATCATGTGAATAATGGAATATTTATCCATCAATCCACATATACCCAAAAGGTATTAAAACAATTTTATATAGATAAATCTCACTCTTTGAGTACACCAATGGTGGTCAGATCCCTTGATCCCAGTAAAGATCCATTTAGGCCAAGAGAAGAAAATGAAGAAATACTTGGCCCCAAGGTACCATATCTCAGTGCTATTGGTGCATTAATGTACCTTGCAAATTGTACCAGGCCAGATATATCTTTTTCAGTAAATTTACTGGCCAGGTTTAGAGCATCCCCCATAAAAGCGTCATTAGAATGGTATCAAGCACATTTTTCGTTACCTTCAGGGGACTCATGACCTCGGTCTATTTTACTCGAGTGAATCTTGAAATGAATTAATTGGTTATGCTGATGTTGGTTATCTGTTTGATCCACACAAAGCAAAATCTCAAACTGGCTATTTATTTACTTGTAGTGGAACCGCAATCTCTTGGAAATCTGCTAAACAGACAATAACAGCTACTTTTTCAAACCATGTTGAGGTTTTAGCAATTCACGAAGCCAGTCGTGAATACGTTTAGCTGAGGTCTATGACTCAGCATATTCAGAAAAATTGTGGCTTGATTACAGATGATATATTACCTCATACAATATTATTCAAAGATAATGCAGTTTGTATAACTCAGTTAAAGGGATGATATATTAAAGGCGATCGGACAAAGCACATATCTCCGAAGTTCTTTCTCACTCACGATCTTAAGAAAAGTGGTGAAATTAATGTGCAACAAATTCGATCGTCTAAAAATTTTGCAGATTTATTTACAAAGGCGCTACCGACTGCAACATTC